AAGCTGAGAAGTTTCCTTGACCACGGTGGGAATCGAACCTGCAACCTTTATTTGGTTTGCTAGTCCAATACTCTACCAACAGAGCTACGAGATCAGGTCGGTTCGAGTTGGTGATATTTCGGAACTCGGTCTCAGTTTAATTCCTTCGATATCATTATTTTTTATGATCTTGGAAGTTTGACAAACCAATTAAAGGTCGTGGGTTGATTCCCACCGCGGTCAAGTAGGTGTACCATCTAAGATCTCTTCATTTCAGCATTATTTTACTGATAAAGCACTATAAACATACTTTTTAAGTTTGTTTGCCGATTGAGAAACGTATTGAAAATCGGAATTTTGAATGTATATTATAGTTTGTACTCATTAATTTTGAGCGTGCGTTACGGCACATACAATAAAATCTCTTAATATCATGTTTTAATTTTAATCACATTTTTTCTTTTCAGCAAAGAGATCTAGGTTTCTCAACTGGAAAACAAAGTAGCACGTCATCAAATCTCACCTCCACCGGAGCTAAGTCGTTCAAAGATTGGTATGATGTCCAAATACAGATGTTGAAAAATCAAATCTGGGGTCTTACTGAAATGCGAGGATATTTTCAAAGTTCAACAATAAAAGCATGCGTCGTTCCAGCATGTTAGGATTAGAGAGAAAACGTGTCACGCTATTTTTGAACAGTTATATACATAATACCCAAATGGTGAATTTCATATAAAACTAAAAACGATTAGGTTTCAAATGGTGGTGAACCTCCGGATGCAGAACTGTTGCAAAGCAAAAATTTTAAATGACATCTCTCAATTCTGTAATTACACAATACTACTTCAATAACTTCATTTATTTATAATCTCAAACTCATGAATAATTCATGAGTAAATGGACGACTTGCGCTTCAGACTAAATTTAAATCTAAGTAAGAACAACGAAATCTATCACCACAGCTGGAAAGAGCGTCTTGGAATTCGTAATATTACAAAGTTTGGTTGCGAAATGTTGTAAAATACGGAAAATATAGTCCTTCAAAGTTGGCAAATTTGTATACTTTTGTATTACGTGCGTGAATTGGTAACTAAATTAGTTACCAATTTCCGCACGTAATAGAAATGTATACAAATTTGCCAACTTCGCAGGGCTATATTTTCCGTATTTTACAACATTTCGCAACCAAACTTTGCAGTTTTTCTAATTTTGATAACTTCTTTCAGAAAATATCCTTTGTTATTCCCAGATTAAAAATTTTTCTAAAGCGTAAGTCGTCGATTAGCCAACCATATTCGGCTTTATTTTGCTCACATGATAATTCTGCATGGATACCTGATGATCGAAGTATTGTCTTGACCCATAGTCGGATTTGAAATATTACATGAAATTAATGGATGATTCCAGCCATAGACTAAATTTTGATCTTGGCAAGAAGAACTAGATCCATCACCACAGCTAGAAAGAGCAAGTTAAAATTAGTAAAATTGCAAAGTTTGGTTGCGAAATGCTGTAAAATGAATAAAATTGCAATTTTACTAATTTTAACATGCTCTTCAGCAGGTGATGGATTTTGTTCTTCTTGCCTAGATCAAAATGTAGTCTATAGCTGGAATCTAGTTGACAATTAACATTATTTTCTCACTCCGGTTCACCACCATATCTAGCTACTGTATGATAGTGCTAAATGAAACCTACATCTAGGATGTACATTTGATTCCAGACTCATTTTATAATGCTAAATATTTTAAAGTTAATTTCAGGCTGAATTAATGTGACACACTAGCCCTTACATCTGGCTTAGTTTGATACGTTTGGGAGGGATCATCCTAAGAAAAGTTTTGAAATGCCCATTTCTACAAGACAGATTGTGAGGTAGTGAACACAGACTGTGTTGACGGTAACGAGAGACGAGGTCATGGCGTATTGGATGCGTGAGTGGCTAGCAGGATCCTGGGGCATGCACCCCCGCCGGGAACATTTCGAATTTTAGAAGTCCAGAATTGCCATTTCCTTGCGTCTTCAACTGCGTCTTTAGAGTGACATTTGGTTTTGTATAATAATCTCATATGAAGCTCAAAAAGTCAATTTTTATAAAACTGCCCACTTTAAGTTTTAAAATGGTTTAAATTTAGAACTACCCATTTTGGAAAATGGGAGGCCTTAGGATGACCCCTGACGTTTAGTGTTTTTTCTTTTGAAATAACATAAAGTAGATGCTGTGCATCAAATAAGTAATTTGGAAATAGTTTAGGATTTTGTTTTCTTAATTAGCACAAGCTGTAAACAACATGATAACATTTTTAATATTCTGATAAAATAAATAATTCGTGAAAAGTTAATGATGTTTATTACGTGCACGTGTCGTCTAATTTATTGAATTTACTGTCGATGCAATAGAAGTGCTGATAAAATATTGTACCAATTCCTTTCCTCAAGTTGATTAATTCATTTGATAGAAAATTGATCAACTTCTTGTTACTTTTAGATGAGCCAATTAGATTTCGTTTCAGAACCGATTGACCAATAGGAAACGCACAGGAAGTAAAAAGAAATTTGAATTCGTATGAATTGATCAACTTGAGGAAATGAATTCATTCAATATTTTATCAACACTTCCATTGCATCGACAGTAACACATTCGAGGTAGTACATGTTGTTCAGTGTGGGTTATCTTAAGTGATCTGATGTTGTATATGCAGTCACTAGTCACTGCGGACTAGCTTAAGCATGTGGTTAGGCCATACAGAAGACGTGCTGTATACATGGTCTAGCTTGAATATCAGCTACCTTAAATTGATCTTATGCTGTACAGACCTTATTGCTGTGTTAATTAAGCATGACTAGATCATACAGAGGTAATACATGTTTTTGAATGTGAGCTACCTTAAGATAATCTGATGTTGTACAAGTTCCACATGTATGACGTGCGGTCACGTGATGATGTATGTGTATCACGAAACGCCCATGTTATTACTACTTCATGCAAACATCAACGTAGTCAATCGAGACATGGTAAAACTCCATGTAGCAAACTTCAAAGCGTTTACAAAGAGCTACGATTTCATGTTGAGACCACCTCATTATGCACAAATCCTTTGAATTTTGCAGACTACTAGACCATATCTTTGTCGGAAGCAAAATTGTCTCGCAACTAATTCACTGAGAAGCATATTCTGTTTCCAAATGTAATACTAGAATTGAGGGAATCCAGTGGGGAGCCGCATGCATGCAATGTTTGCTTGTTGGCTCGAAAAAAAATGGCTATAGAAAACAATGCTTCCTGGTAAACATGAAGCCCAATACAGACTATAGCATAGCGCTAAATGTTTTTCCTTTTCTAGAATAGCCGGTCTGCGAATGTCTTTTGAATTCCACCGAGAACGGTATTTATGACGCTGTGACCATTACGCTGCTTTGACCCATCCAAACTACTGAAAGATGCAAACTCTAGGGGTGTCTGAAATGGGCTCTTACACTGCGCCACCATGCAAGTATTTCTGAAATTCTTGGATTTATCGCCAGCAGACGTATTGGATATTGATCTATAATCAACAAGGCCGTCAGAAGTAAATCATTTTTTTTTTTGGGGGGGAGGGGGTTTGTTCAACAATAAATCTGAATTGTTTTCGCACTTTTCTAGTTCTTTTGTGTGTTTTTCTTATACAAATGGAAATTATTGGGGGGGGGGCTCAAGCCCCTCCCCACTTCTGACGGCCTTGATGAATGGTTTTCTATAAAAGCTGTAAAAAAGTTAAAAAAAATAGAATATCAGTGGAACTATGTTAGACATATCGTTGGTTATACAGTATTGAAAGGGTGCAACTTTAACTTAATAATAATTATTGAATGTAATGACAATGAACAACTATTGCCGAAATCTAGACGAGTAAACTATAGTTTTCATGTCTTTGACATCTACTGTGTTGCATTAACTGTGTTCATGTGCGTCTGGTATACAATACACGATAACGAAGTCACTCGGTTTATTTATACATTTGTACTGTACATGAACAATCTTATACAAAATTTGTTTTTAATTATATACGTTTTAAGAAAACATGCATTATATACGTTTTGCGCAAATTCGAATTCACACACTTTATACCAATTCAAGGTAGTATACCATATAAAAATACAAAGAATATACTGCATGTAGAAATAATTTTATAAGAATTAAAATGTCTTGAAAGTTCAGTCGATTCACTTTTGATATGGCAAAAGTTGATATACAACTGCATGTTTACAGTTGAGGGAGCAGTCTAGTTTTCCGATTTTGCGCAAACCTATTTAATAACACGCTGGTCGTATTCAGCAAATTTTCTCCCTACGTGTACAGCAAGCTCGTTTATCCAGCGGGGTTGCCACGGAAAATTGAAAGCATCCCGTTGGACGCACAGCTGTTAATTTTAAGTGAGATGTCCGCTGAGTGAGCCCGCACGAGTGGGAGATAAATGGCTAAATTTGGCCAACAGCAACGTGTAATTCGAGGACCGAGGTTCTCCTTCCCTTCCCACAAGTGATTATCGTGTGGAGTTTTTGAGGCCCTGTCACACTATTGCGTATCCGTATACTAGTCTAGCGTATGCAATCGTATGAAAAATATCACTCGTATGCTGGTATACGCTGACATACGCTAGGGGTACGTTAGGCATAGGTTGTATACATTTCGGGCACGGTCGCATACGGTGGCATACTCTAGGCGGCACACGCTGAATACGCTATAGAGGTACGCCAGATGTATGGCACTCATACGCTGGCAATTCAAGGGATTTTTGTAATTTTGTCCGTATGAAAATTATTTCATAAATTTTCATATGCTTCTCATACGTTTCTCTCGTTAGTCTCATACGCAATAGTATGACATGGCCTTTAATTTTACTAGAGTCTATACTTATGTGCTTTATACTATAAATGTTCTTTGCAGTCATCAGTTTCAAATTGTTTTCTTTGTTTTGTTGTCGGCGCTCTCTATAGTCCCATACCTTGTTCTCACGCACATACATTGTACGTTAAAGTTTCTAATCTGGAATCTGCTCGTATTGCTGAACATTTTCAGGCTGTACGTTGTCGTTGCCCGGGGACTTGCATAGATTGACAGCAAACAACACGAGCATACCTACAACGCAACTTAACACCACAACACAATTCATAGAAATGATCAACCACACCAGGGAGTTATCAAATTTCGGAGAAACTCGTAACAACGCCAAGCCGACAAACGACAACAACAAAACAACAGAAACGATCACATCAGCCAAAGTTTCAAACTCGAATCTTTCCGAGTACTGTTCGAAAGGTCTGAAAATTAAGGTTATAGCTATAGAGATAACCAGAAGAACCGTTATGCCCATAACTTGGTAAGATGAGGTAGTTGGAACAACGGTAAGAAACACGGCAAGCAAGAGTCGACGGCCGAGAAAAACCAACGGGAAATAGCGACGGTATGGCGTCTTAAAGTCGTTGTAAAGAGGTTTCAACCAAATATTCGTCTCTTCTGAAACAGCCTGGCCGTGATGGTCTACGTATTTACAGAGCAAAGAAACAAATACAAAAAAAGGCACACCAATAACAAATACCACCAATGAAACATACCCTAAAGCTACCAGCCAGGTATAAGAGGTACCATTACAGTCTAACCATGGCGTGACTTTTAAATACGACAAACCGTCACGATGTTCGCAAGGTAACACTGCCTGAAGAGTTTTGGCAGTAATAGGAAAGTACACAAATAAGAGTATTTTAATACTTAATCGCTTGCATGAAGAACTTGGAATGATTAAATTTTGCCGGCAACTACTAATGATTCTAGACAAGCCATGCAACAGCCATATAAGAAAGATACCTGTGGTGGGAAGTAACAAAATTACGGCGAAGCTAACTTCAGGACGATTTGCATATGAAAAACTACAAGTGAGTTCAGGGATTGCAAAATTAAACGCCATTGTGATTTGGTATTTTAGCAGAACTATTGTTCGCGGCCACATGTTGGCGTCTGAAAGCATGGCGTCAAGAGATTGAAAAAAGAACAATGCAATGGACAGAAAGCTCTTTAAGTTCTCCCTTATACCACCAAAAAGACCTAAAATCCAAACTGTACATATTATGACAAAAAACCACCCTGGGATTATGTTCTTGTAGTGCAAAACTATCAGAGTCACCGCTAAGAAGAATATTAGAATGAGAACAAGCTTTTTAGCGTATCTCAAACAAACAATGATAATACAACTGAGAAGTTTTTACGGAATTTGGGACAAGAAATGCACAACGAGCCTTTCTTTTAGTAACCATCCTTGCACTGAGAACAAAACCGTCCCTGGTTGCCATAGCGACATATACATGACGTATCACACGAGGTTTGTAGTTGACCGTTGAGTTGGTTTAACTGGCACTTGCATTTTCCAGACGGGCTGCAAACTTCATCATCAAATTTTTCCCCTTGGTAACTGCATTTAACCATACGAGTAACGTTAGTAAAATTTCCGCAACACGGCCAATATCCCTTGTCAATGGTCATCTTAACTTCAATTACTTCCTTAAATATTACTTGTGTGGGTGATGCTTCTACATCGCAGGAAGCGCCTTTCATACAAGGCTTGCAGTATTTCATAAATCCATAGTATCCTCTGTTACAAAAGCACAGTCTATATCCATAATAATCCGGGTCTACATCAGCTCTCCCGCGCGCGCCTGAGCTTGTTAATCGTAATGTCGGGCAAGTAAATGTATCTTTATGCAAGGTCTCCGTTAATGTGGCATTCAAGAACTCGTTTGGCAAAGGGGCCTTGGTTTTCATATACCGGTTTCCCCTAATGTCCAAGTAGGTCAGCGTCCTTAAAGGCGCGAAAAGGCCCTTAGATAGATCGCCTGACAAATTATTCGATGCTAAAGCGAGATAGAATAGATAAGGCATACTGAACTGAGCACCATTTTTCGGGATGTGTCCAGTCAGATTGTTTTGACTGAGGTCTATGTACATAATTTTGTCAAAGTTCCAAAGTGTCTTCGACAGATCTCCCTTCAGTCCACAGCTTTGTGCGACCAGCATGCGCAGTTGATCCTTGCAAGGTTGTAATGCTTGTAGAAGAAGGTTACCCTCAATTTTGAGGTTGACATTTCGATCAATATACAGTGTTTGTAGCTGTTTGTTGAAAGTCATATTTTTGGCAAAACCTGTGAAATTATTCCCGGATAAGTCAAGTACCTGGAGCGTTTCGAGTTTGCTTAATGCACTCGGGAGCAAGCCATGTAGGTAGAGATTTGATCCTAAGGATAGCTGAGTAATCTTTTTGAAACCGAGAAAAAACGAATGTAGTTCGCCCTCTAGATTATTGCCGTATAGACGTAGGTCAATAATATTAGGATGGGTGTGTCCAAAGTCTTTAGGCAGCGTTCCTTTTAGTCCGCAATTTGTCAGATGTAAGTACTGCAGTTGAGTCATATTATTGAAATACCACAGTTCTCCTGACCTTAGGCTCACATATTCTAAGTCCAAAAACCACAATTTTGTTAGCTTTCCGATGCTCAATGGTAGATGAACATCTTTAATATCGTTTTCACCAATACTAAAAATTTGAAGTTTGCTTAATCGTCCAATATCTTGTGGTAGGCTGCCATATAGTCCGGTATGCTGCGTGCAACATATCTGTAACATTTCAAGATTGTAAAGCTGTAGTATAAGATTCCATGGCACAGATCCATACACTCCTGTAAATGAGAGGCATAGGCGTCGAAGCCGGGTCATATTGCTTGATACAACATCAGATATTTGCCCTGTCATTTGTCTATTACGAGACAAACATATCCCTTGCAGATTCCGAAATCTCCAGAAATTTGGCGGTTGGCCATCTAACCCGTTTTCGGTAAGATCTATCCATTTTACATAAGTACTGTTCTTGTAACATTCTACACCAAACCATTCGCAATGAGTAATGTTGCTCTCCTCCCCCCATCCTGTTGTATTTTTCCATACTGACCAACGGCCACCAGTTGCATAGAACAGATCTAGCAAGAAGGAGCGTTCTTGTTCAGGCGTGTAGGTAGTGTCCGTCACTGTGTTGTTTTTAATTGAATTAAACAAGCACCCAGTGTCCAAATCACCAGCCTTTTGAAGGTACGCGAAAGTGGAGATTCCTAGTAAAGAACACATGGTTCAGTTGATGCGACGACAACGTTTTCGTAGAATTGAGACGCCCTCATCATTCAAAGGTTCAGCGGTTAGCCTGCGTAGCAGTCTCTTTATTTTATTGAAGGTTTTGAGGGCCTCTTTTTCTGTTCGCCCATTTCTTCTAACCCGCCATTTATTCAAAAATCCTCAAAACCTTCGAAAAAATAAAGCGACTGCTACGCAGGTTTAAGGTTCAGTAAACGAAATAGTTATGGTGATCAGAAATATCGAGAGTTACAGCAGGCAAATCTCTGTGCTTTTATGTCCGCCCAGGGGCGTAGGAACCACAAGGGGGCACGCCCCCATCTTTTCCAAGGACCAAAAGTACACTTTTTTTGTCATTAACAGTGCCCTTTTTGTACAAGCTAATGTCGCTGTAAATACTACATGAGGCCCTCTTTTTTGTTCGCCCATTCCTTCTAACCCGCCATTTATTCAAAAATCCTCAAAACCTTCGAAAAAATAAAGCGACTGCTACGCAGGTTTAAGGTTCAGTAAACGAAATAGTAGATGGTGATCAGAAATATCGACAGTTACAGTAGGCAAATCTCTATGCTTTTATGTCCGCCCAGGGGCGTAGGAACCACAAGGGGGCACGCCCCCATTTTTTTCAAGGATCAAAAGTACACTTTTTTGTCATTAACGGTGCCCTTTTTCTACGAGCTAATGTCGCTGTAAATACTACATTAACATCAAAGGTGCTCTTTTTGTTTGGAAATTTCGACGTCTTTTTAATAAAAATTGGTCAAAAACGTGCAATTTCAGTATGGTACGATGGGGAAATTTTTCTTCCCCCCCCTCCCACCCCACCGTCGCCAACATTTACGGGAATTTTTTTACCTTGGAAGTCGGTCCCCCCCATCTTTCGATGCTTCCTACGCCCCTGTGTCCACCAAAACACAAGACTACCGCAGATACAATGAAGAGAATTCTCCATCTGGGGTTAGGTGAATTAAAATGCGGAAGCGGAAAGGAACGGTTGGCGTTAAAATGCGGAACAGAACGGAACGGATATGGGGTTAAAATGCGTAACGGAACAGATATGGGGTTAAAATGATGAACGGAACGGATATGGGATTAAAATGCGGAACGGAACGGATATGGGGTTAAAATGCGGAGCGGAACGGATTTGGTGATAAAATGCGTCATTTTAAACTTTACCAAAAATTTTAACCACAAGTCGAGCTTTTTTCGCCTCTTTTTACGTTTCTGTTTTTTCGATTTATGTTTTTTTTCAATGGAATTCAACGTCGTAGTGCTTATTATTCCTAACAATAATAATCTTATTAATAATATAATAATAATAATATAAATAATATAATAATAATATAATAATTAAATAATATAATAATAATAATAATTAAATAAAATAATAATAATAATAATAATAATTAAATAATATAATAATAATAATAATAATAATAATAATAATAATAACAATAATAATCTTATTCAACTATTTCAATTAAAGTTGTGACTGAGACAATAGTCAAATGTGCAATATGGGCCCTAAAAGATTGATGGGAATAATCATATTAAATAAGTTTAGCGAATCAGCATCCTCGTCGGGATACTTTTAGCGACAGAAAATACTATTAAAAACACTATTATAAATTAAAAAACGAGTAAAAATTTTAAAAAGAACGCCCTCCCGCTTCTGAAAATTTGTGAGAGTGTGACGCTAATTTTTATGAGAAATAATAAGCACTACGACGTTGCATGCATTCCATTGCAAAAAAAACATAAATCGAAAGCACAGAAACGTTAAAAAAGAGGCGAAAAAAACTCAGTTTGTGGTTAAAATATTTGGTGAAGTTTAAAATGGCGCATTTTAACCCCATATCCGTTCCGTTTCGCATTTAAACCCATAGATATAGGAGATCTAGATTGCTAACGCATACCTAGCGCAGGCGGGGCCTACATGATAAATCCAATTTTGAGATGGCGGTACAACAGGGCAAAAAGACTATAGATTCTATTACGAAAATCAGTATTTTTGCATTTTTTGCCGTCGCATTGTTTTGAAACTTATTCGGTCAAATTTTATGGTAAAGAGAAACTTACCGCGAAGATTTTGAGCATATATATGATTGAATTGGATGAAAACTCGCAAAATTATCCATCGATAAAAGTTCGTGTATAGTACTGATATAGTACTATATATGTAACTTGTGCAGTTTTGCTTTAATATTTGCTCACTATTTGCATAAAAAGCAAATTATAACAGACCATAGATGATAGACCCTCATCCAGTGCTCTCATCAGTTTACTTCTCTAACAAGCAAGGGGGGGGGGGTACATAACAGTTCATTTTTCATAATTATGAGGACAGAGCAGATGATGATGAGAGATGCAAGTATAAAACACCATTCACAAGGCTAGATGTTAACATAGCACAGTATTTCTGGCAATAAAACGCTGACCAACTGACCATTTCACACGAACTTTTATCGCTGGATAATTTTGCGATTTTTCATCCAATTCAATCATATATGTGCTCAAAATCTTCGCGGCAAGTTTCTCTTTACCATAAAATTTGACCGAATAAGTTTCGAAACAATGCGACGGCAAAAAATGCAAAAATCCTGATTTTCGTAATAGAATCTATAGTCTTTTTGCCCTGTTGTACCGCCATCTTGGATTTATCATGTAGGCCCCGCCTGCGCTAGGTATGCGTTAGCAATCTAGATCTCCTATATCTATGTTTAAACCCCATACCGTTCCGTTCCGCATTTTAACCCCATCCGTTCTGCATTCGCTTCCGCATTTTAACCTAATCCATTCCATCTGTGATGATAACACGTATCATCTATTGTGTATATGATACTGACTCTTCCACAGTCCCTCGTTAACATATTTTAGTACGGGAACCTAACCCATTTCCAGCATCCAACGCGAGCGACTGGGAACGAGTCACCATATGATATAGTCGTCACGACGAATGATTCGACAATAATGTGCATAAACATTACACACTGAAATATCTGTTCCCAGAATCATTGTCAGTATAGATCCCGTTATTTTCTAGTCAGTTAGTCTGCCTTAATTCGCCCTGTGCTGCTCTGTCCACATTATCAACAAAGTTCGGCAACTTCTGGTGAGGTTTGATGTACGGTACAAAATACAGCAAGTCATGTCGTATTATGAGACACAGGTTCAACATGCGTTTAGACGCCGTGTTTTTCTTTGCCAAATGCATATATTTTTTATGTATTAAATCATTATCATATATTATTATCATATATTAGCAATTTAGCACTGACATTTATTCTGATATATTGCACTGTCAGTGTATTTTGGCACTGTACAATGGCCTACAATTAAGTCCGACATCCAAATCCGTTGGCGAACTCATTTGCCGTATTTAACTGATTTTATTAGGTTCGGCCCATGAAATGCTCGCCGTCTAAACCAGGTCATGGGCATAACCGGAGTCCTAAAACAAACCTCATAATTTTGCCTCCTGATTTTGTTTGGAAATTATGTTCGTATACACATAGAAGGTCACCGTGAAGGCCAACTAATATCACTAGACGTATAATATGCTTACCTAAACGGTCACCAGTTCGCGGTATGGCAAAGCAACAAGTCAAGTTGAAAATAAAGCAATACACGAAAAAATTCGCCATGAATATTTCCTGTGAAATATACTACTGGTACAGTATCAAAGACAACTGAACAAAAACGTTGTTTTGGTTTTAATGTGTAGTTGTATGCTGGGAAATTCACAACAAACATCGTTTAATATGTCAAGACTCAATTAAGTCACAAATCTTTGGACATCCGGCCGGAATATAATTTCACGGTCAGGCAACCCAGATACCAAAAAAGTCCTAGCTTTCTATGTCGTAAATAGTTCCATTAGGACCCTTTGGCTACCACTTATTTCATATAAAGCATGAAATGTAATGTTTTCTTTAATACACAAACAAATACAGTTATGCCGCTCTATCGCGGCCACAGGTCTCGCTAAATTTACAGTTTGTGATACCAAAACCCTATCGGCTATTCCGCAGTCAGGATCTCGCTAAACTTAAAGTAATACCAAAAGACTTCAATGATTTGGATTATTGCACTTCACTTGGTGGAATTACTATATTAGAATGTTAGGGTTTGTAATCCAAGTGAGAATATATACATTTCAAGACCTAACCAGGAACGACTGCGAAAAATGGAGCACAAGGTCCTCTGGTAGGAATTGAACCTACGGCCATGCGATTCTGGTGCAGCGCTCTAACCAACTGAGGTACAGAGGCCAGCTGTTGAGCTGTAACCGTAAAGTTCATGTATATATAGGTAACACACCCGATTAATGAATGACTATCACTGTTTCAATTTTACAGAAAAACTTTCTTACAAAGTGTGGACCCTAAGCAGCCAAAAAATGTCAAAGTTTCAGCTTTTCACTTTAATCTGTCATTGAAACTTTCCCAAGGCGAGCTAGTGCATGACTCTTCAGTGGAGCCTGTGGAGGTGCAAAAATTCTCAGGGGAGGTGCAAAACTATATCAGGAGAGGTGCGCAGCTCCCCACACAGTCACACTTACCCTCAATATCCGCCCATGGATGGAATATCATTAAGATGCAATTTTTTTCTAAAAAATTCTGTCCAAAACCGAAAATCTTTTTGGCATACCTCTCAGAATTGCTTTGTTTTAGCTTTACTCTCTTGTTCAAACAGCAATATAAGCAAAACTTGCTGAACTTCAGATATTATATCTTCTCTTTGGCGTACCATCTAAAATCTCTTCGTTTCAGCATTATTTTACAGATAAAGCACTAAAAACACTTTTTAATTTTTTTTGCCGATTGAGAAACGTATATATAGAAAATCAGAATTCTGAATGTAGTCATAACTGCAAGTGGCTTATTATTTTTGAGCGCGTGTTAAATTTTTTCGGCAACAAGATTTAGTCAAACAAAGTAGCATGGCGCCAAATCTCACCTCCACCGGAACTAAGTCGTTAAAAGATTGGTATGATGTCCAAATACAGATGCTGAAAAATCAAATCTGGGATCTTACTGAAATGCGAGGATATTTTCAAAGTTCAACAATACAAGCATGCGTCGTTCCTGCATCTTAGGATTAGAGAGAAAACATGTCACGCTATTTTTGAACTGTTATACATTATTAATACCCAAATGGTGAATTTCATATAAAACTAAAAACGATTAGGTTTCAAATAGTGGTGAATATCAGCAAAAATTTTACTAAGACATCACTCAATTTTATAATTATATACAATACTACTTAATTAAATAACTTCGTTCGTTTATAATCTCAAACTCATGAATAATTCATGAGTAAACTAGCCAACCATTTATCACTTATTTACTGAGACCGAGGGAAACAGTGTGTTTTGTGGACACGAGACCGTCGATGTTTCATGATGAATGAAACATCGACGGTCGAGGGTCCACAAAATACACTGCTTTCCCGAGGTCTCAGTAAATAAGTGTTTTATTATATATCAATAGTCAAAGAAATAACAAATTAAAGAACAAATGAATATACTTGAAAGAGCTGTTCATTGTCAAGTCTATAGCTATCTACTTCATGAAAATATCCTGACCCCGAAACAATTTGGATTCCGCCCTAAACTCTCCACGGCAATTGCTCTCACCTACTTCACTGACAACATTCTGGATAATTTAGACAAAGGTTCTATCGCCGGTGCAGTTTTCTTAGATCTTTCGAAGGCTTTCGACACGGTTAGTCACGATCGTCTCATACAGAAACTTGGCACTATTGGTTTTTCACAGCCATGGCTAGAAATCCAATACAGTATGGCGGAAAAGCATGCGTGCAGAGCGCAAATTAAATAAATTCAAAATGGCGGCAATGTATAGAATTGATAGAGGAAAAATTATATTTCGTTTTTTTTTGTTTTATAACCTTACAAATTCTCACATGTGCACGTCTAAAACGTCAGTATATAACACAAATATTAACTAGAACAAATATCGCGACAAATTGACAAGGCTAAATGAGTTCCCTAGCTCGATAGATTCGTACCTCTTATTCCCCATACAAGTGTCTATTAAATCCCAATAATTGGCCAAAGTTGGCCAAAGTAAGCCTTTATTTTGGCAATAATCAGTTGGTTTGGCTGTAATGTGCACGTCTAAATACACTCGAGAATATTTATTCTTTGTTTTGCGAAGACGTTTGGTACGTATCTTCGTCTTTAAGTAGGTTCCCAAACGCCATAAAAAAAGTGCGATTTAAGTGCCGCAGAGTCGTTGTCAATCGATCGACCAAGCGCCGACATAAACACTGAACAGTAACACGACATGAAAATCGAAGCAATACAGTGCTTTCTTGTCGCCATTTTAGAACTGTTGTTATGGTTTTGATGGTGTTTACCGCTGCAATGTTTATTTGATCGTGGATGCAGAAATAAAAGCGCAAATAAGCGGTAAAATTTGAAATTTGGCTTGGTAAATATACATTTTCTGTTGGGAATCAAATTTCGCAATTTACGAAATTCATCAATAAAGGTCAATAAAGAGGCATTTTACATATAAATTGTTTCTTATATATTTTTACAGTGTTTACGCTGAGTTGTTGCATTAAACATGTATGATATTTCGCTATTAGATTGCTATTTGCAATGGAAATTAGCAATTGCAAGCCCTTCATTCGCATATACTAATGAAGCTCAATGTACGCAGGATATAGTTTTGACCTTTTGGCTTTAGATATTCACAATATATCTGCCGCGTTTAGTCTTGTTCTCGCTATAAAAATCAGCTGTGCTGCCCAGAACAAGACTCTTTAACTCGTTCAACTCCTTGCAGAAATGAACCGAAATGGCGCAATGTTTAATACCAAGTAATTAATTTATGCAAATCCGCTATTTATGTAAATTTAGCCTGCAGGTCAAACCGCATACTGTATTGGATTTCTAGCCATGCAACAATCAACTGGTTCTCTTCTTATCTCTCTAATCGTTTTCAAGTCACTTCTATTGGCCTTGAACAGTCGTCCACTCAACCAGTACATGTCGGAGTACCCCAAGGAAGTATACTGGGTCCTTTACTGTTTCTCATTTATGTGAATGAAATTCCCTCCACTGTTAATAACTGTGACATTTCCCTGTATGCAGATGATACAGTCCTATTTTGCTCAGCTAAAACCATTATTGAATTGGAACAAAAGCTAAACTCTGACCTACAGAACTTATCTCGTTGGTTTGGTGCTAACTGTTTAACTCTTAACACTTCTAAATGCAAATTTATGGTTTTCGGAAGTAATGCCAAACTACAAAATATAAATCTTCTTATTAATAATAGCCCACTAAATCGTGTTGAATCATTTAAGTATCTTGGTATAACCTTAAATCAGACATTATCGTGGTCAGATCATATTGAAGCACTCTTTACCAAAGTTAATCAACGTCTTGGTATCATACGAAGAGTTAAACACCTCCTAACTGTTGAATCTCGTCGTACTCTAGTAAACAGCCTTGTCATGCCGATCTTTGACTACGCTGATTTTGTGTGGGGTGATAAAAACAACTCTGTCCTGATGAACCACCTTCAAGTTCTTCACAACAAGGCCGCTAAAATCATTCTTGACGCTCATCCACTCTCGTCAGCCTCAGAATCCCTACGATCGTTAAATTGGCAGCCGTTAGCAACTCGTAGACACCTTCACCGTTGTCTAATCATGCACAAGTGTTTAAACAATGACATCAATTTTAAATTTAATTTCAAGTTCTCCTCTGACATCCACAGCTACAACACTCGAAACAAACAGAACATACATATGGAACGCGTCAAGAAGAACTGGGGGAAGCAGGCATTCAGCTACCATGCTGCCAACGACTGGAATAGTCTGCCAGTGGAAATCCGAAATATACAGCAAATTAAAACTTTTAATTTAAAACTAAACTAAAGAAACATTTAGCTACATAGCCATAGGACTCACTACCGAACCGATTGGATGCGCAAGAACTTTATACGATATAACTTTTCATATATTCACTTTTGTTAGTTTTATATTTTTATTCTTTTTTTTTTTATCAGGGCTCCACTGAAAATCACTTCCGTGAGTGGACCCCCTGACTAAATATTGTAATTATTAATGTAAATACATGAAATATTTTATTGCCAAAACGTTATATTAAACACTGCCACTGGCTACACTCACGAACTATTGGGCCAATCGAGCTGAAACTCAACGCTTTGTGCTCAGCAGGTTGCGGGTGACCGATTATCAAGAGTCGCATCTTCACGTGATGGCGCACATGATTTTTTTTTTGTTATTCGCCGGTCGATAACGTATTGTTTCCCTGTCGCGCTGTTGCGAGGGAGACAGTCTAATTTCGTCACTCTCACGTGATATGCTCCAACCAATAAAACACTAGAAAAATGCGACTTTGACTATTGATATATAATAAATTGCCTTATTTTGCTCACATGATAATACTGGATACCTAATGAAGAATATTGACTTGAAATCTAGTCCAGTCCTCATATAGTCGGGTTTAAAATATCAAATGAAATGAATTATTAATAACAATATTTTCTCACTCTGGTAATTATAATTAACTGCACGGTAATTTTGAGCAAGATGTCCGCTGAGTGAGCCCGCAAGAGTGGAAGATAATTGGCTAAATTTGGCCAACGGCAACGTGTAATTTGAGGTTCCCTTCCCTTTCCACAAGTGATTATCGTGCGGAGTTTTTGAGGCCCTGTCACACTATTGCGCATCGTTACCTGTACTAGCGTATGCAATCGGGTGAAAAATGTCACTCACACGCCGAGACAGAAACATTATTTTAATTAAGCATGCTTAAAATTTTTGTGCGTATTCGGACGTATCTGGGTTTATACGATAAGCGTACTCTAAGTGGCACACGCTGAATACGCTATAAAGGTATACCAGATGTATGGTACTCATACGCTGGAATTTCAAGGGATTTTTGTAATTTTAATTTTTCCATATGAAAATTATTTAATTAATTTCACATGCTTCTCATACGTTTCTCTCATACGCAATAGTGTGACAGGGCCTTTAATTTTACTAGAGTCTACACTTATGTGCTTTATACATAGATTAGTCTATACTTATGGCCTTTACACTATATAAATGTTTCTTGTAGTCATCAATTTCAAAATGTTTTCTTTGTTTTGTTGTCGGCGCTCTCTATAGTCCCACACCTTGTTCTCACGAACATAATGTACGTTAACATTTCTAATCTGGAATCTGCCCGTATTGCTGAACATTTTCAGGCTGCACGTTGCCCGGGGACTTGCATAGATTGACAGCAAACAACACGAGCATACCTACAACGCAACTTAACACCACAACACAATTCATAGAAATGATCAACCACACAAGGGAGTTATCAAATTTCGCAGAAACTCGTAACAACGCTAAGCCGACAAACGACAACAACAAAACAACAGAAACGATCACATCAGCCAAGGTTTCAAACTCGAATCTCTCCGAGTATTTTTCGAACGGTCTGAAAATTAAGGTTATAACTATAGAGATAACCAGAAGAAGGGTTATACCTATAACCTGGTAAGACGAGGTAGTCGGAACCACGGTAAGAAACACGGCAAGTAAGAGACGACGGCCGAGAAAAACCAACGGGAAATAGCGGCGGTATGGCGTCCTAAATTCTTCGTACAAAGGTTTCAACCAAATGTTCGTTTCTTCTGAAACAGCCTTGCCGTGATGGTCTACGTATTTGCAGAGCAGAGGAGCAAATACAAAAAGAGGCACGCCGATAACAAATACCACCAATGAAACATACCCTAAAGCCACCAGCCAGTTGTAAGAGGTACCATTACAGTCTAACCATGGCGTGACTTTCAAATACGACAATCCGTCACGATGTTCGCAAGGTAACACTGCCTGAAAAGTTTTGGCAGTAATAGGAAAGTACACGAATAAGAGTATTTGAATACTTAATCGTTTGCATATAGAACTTGGAATGATTGAATTTTGCCGGCAAAACTGACTAGTAGTTTTCGACAAGCCATGCAACAGCCATATAAGAAAGATACCCGTGGCGGGAAGTAACAAAATTACGGCGAAGCTAACTTCAGGACGATTTGCATCGGAAAAACTACACGTGAGTTCAGAAATTGCAAAATTAAACGCATTTGTGATTTGATATTTTAGCAGAACTATTGTTTTCGGCCAAATGTTGGCGTCTGAAAGCATGGCGTCAAGAGATTGAAAAAAGAACACTGCAATGGACAGAAAGCTTTCTAAGTTCTCGCTAGCCCCAGAAAGACCTAAAATCCAAACTGCAAATATTATGACAAAAAACCATCCTGGGATTATGTTATTGTAGTGCAAGACTATAAGAGTTATCGCTAAAGCAAATATTAGAATGAGAACAAGCTTTTTGCGGTATCTCAAACAAACCAACAATGCAATAGAGCCAACCAAACACAACACAAAGCAAACAGTTAATACAACCGGAAAGTTTTTACGGAATTTGGGACACGTAATGCACAACGAGCCTTTCTTGTAGTAGCCATCCTTGCACTGAGAACAAAAGCGTCCCTTGTTGCCATAGCGACATATACATGACGTGTCACACGAGGTTTGTAGGTGACCGTTGAGTTGGTTTAATTGGCACTTGCATTTTCCAGACGGGCTGCAAATTTCATCATCAAATTTTTCCACTTGGTAATTGCATTTAATCATACGAGTAACGTTAGTACCATTTCCGCAACACGGCCAATATCCCTTTTCAATGGTCATCTTAACTTCGATTACTTCCTTAAATTTTTGCGTGGGTGATGCTTCCACGTCGCAGGAAGCGCCTTTCATACAAAGCTTGCAGTATTTCATAAATCCATAGTACCCTCTGTTACAAAAGCACAGTCTATATCCATAATAATCCGGGTCTACATCAGCTCTCCCACCTGAGCTTGTTAATCGTAACGTCGGGCAAGTAAATGTATCTTTATGCAAGGTCTCCGTAAATGTGGCATTCAAGTACTCATTTAGCAAAGGGGCCTTGGTTTTCATATACCGGTTTCCCCGAAGGTCCAAGTATGTCAGTGTTTCTAAAGGCGCGAAAAAACTCTTAGATAAATCGCCTGATAAATTATTCGATGCTAAAGTGAGATAAAATAGATAAGCCATACTGAAATGACCATTTTTCGGGATGTGTCCAGTCAGATTGTTTTGACTGAGGTCAATGTACATAATTTTGTCAAAGTTCCAAAGGGTCTTCGACAGATTTCCCTTCAGTCCACAGTTTCGTGCGACCAGCATGCGCAGTTGATCCTTGCAAGGCTGTAATGCTTGTAGAAGAAGGTTACCCTCAACTTTGAGGTTGACATTTCGATCAATATACAGTGTTTGTAGCTGTTTGTTGAAAGTCATATTTTTGGCAAAACCTGTGAAATTATTCCCGGATAAGTCAAGTACCTGGAGCGTTTCGAGTTTGGTTAATGCACTCGGGAACAAGCCATGTAAGTAGAGATTTGATCCTAAGGATAGCTGAGTAATCTTTTTGAAACCGAGAAAACACGAATGTAGCTCGCCCTTCAGATTATTTCCATATAGCCGTAGCTCAATGATATTGGGATGGGTGTGTCCAAACTCTTTAGGCAGCGTTCCTTTTAGTCCGCAATTTGTCAGTTGTAAGTACTGCAGTTGAGTCATATTATTGAAATACCACAGTTCTCCTGACCTGAAACTCACATATTCTAAGTCCAAAAACCACAATTTTGTTAGCTTTCCGATGCTCAATGGTAGATGAACATCTTTGATGCCGTTTTCACCTATACTAAAAACTTGAAGTTTGCTTAATCGTCCAATATCTTGTGGCAGGCTGCCGTTTAGTCCGGTATGCATGCAACATATTTGTAACTTTTCAAGATTGTAAAGCTGTAGTATAAGACTCCAGGGCACAGAACCATACATTCCTGAAAATGAGACGCATAGGCGTCGAAGCCGGGTCATATTTCTGGATACTACATTAGATATTTGCCCAGTCATATGTTTATTACGAGACAAACATATCCCTTGTAAATTCCGAAATCTCCAAAAATTTGGCGGTTGGCCATCTAACCCGTTTTCGGTTAGATCGATAAATTTTACATAAGTACTGTTCTTGTAACATTCTAGACCAAACCATTTGCAATGAGTAATGTTGCTCTCCTCCCCCCATTCTGTTTTAATTATCCAGAACCAACGACCACCAGTTGCATGGAACAGCTCTAGCAAGAAGGAGCGTTCTTCTTCAGGCGTGTAGGTAATGTCCGTCACTGTGTTGTTGTCGGTTAAATCACCCGAGCACCCCGTTCCATGGCCACCAGCCTTCTGAAAGTACGCGAAATCAGAGTTTCCTAGTGAAGAGCACATAGTTCAGTTAATGCGAGGACAGCACGTTTTCGCAGAATTGAAACGCCCGGGTAAGGATAAAATGCGGATACGGACGGACGGACAGGCGCACGGACGGGGGGATATGCGGATGGACGGGGGGGGGAATCAAATCCCCGTTTTGTTCGGAAAGAGATATATTAGGATATATTATAAAAGACTATTATTAATCGTAATAAATTGTTGGAAAATTGATAAAATACGTGTGAAAATGCGGGGGTTTTTGAACCTTTATATAACGCTTGAAATAATTAATTAAATTAATTAATTACCTGAGAAGACAAAAATCCTAAATACGTTAGCCATTTGCTCAAACTCGGGTCCAATTTCATTTGCGCAAATATCGCGTAATCGAGTGAGTATTTGAACGCGATAAAACAACTCGTACAAAGAAATATTAATACATAAGGTTTACTAACTTACTTGCCAATGTCGTATATAAACAATTATTGAGGCACATTCATTCTCAATCGCGCTCGCTGATTAAATTATCAATGTAAACAATACTAAAGTCGAGAGAAATACTCATTACTGTGACACGCAGTGGCGTAACGCAACCGCTGGAGGCCCGCCGTCAATCGGTCACTTTAGGCCCCTTTGCTCCACTAAAAATAGGCTCCAAAAATTTTTCTCGGAACAACTTATTTTGGCGACCTCCCCCCCCCCGTCGCCAAAAAAGTTTTGGACATTGTACCATTTTAGGGGTCCAAAATTTTTTCCGGACATACCCAATGAAATTGCAATTAATTCATTCTAGTATCTCGTCCTTTACCTCAGCCGCGACGTACTTAATCCGTCGCAGCTTCGGAAATTTCTCGACGGATTTTGCCTTTTCCAGAGAATGGTTTTTTTTATTCAATTCAATTAATTCAATTCCCCAGAAATGTGCAATCAAATTTTTTAAGGTCATTTTTTGTCGGGGGCCCCAAGAGTTCGGGGGTCCCCCGTCACTGGACACCCTGACACCCTCCCGTTACGCCACTGGTGACACGATTCCGGTATAGACCCGTTTTGCCGATGTTAAATGTCCATTAATATATATGATTTGGTATTAAAATCACAAACAATTAGTTTCCAAGTATATACGAAAGCAGAAGTTTACAGCCTGTTTACAAACGCTAGGTTACATTAGTTTTTATCTGTACGTCCGCTTAAAAAGGTCAATTTTAAAACCGGAATTTTCTATATCAGCGACATGCATATAAACCCCAAATGCCGAGTCTTAATTAAGATGAATTGTAATGAAAATTGCTCTGGCAAAGCGCAAGCTTGCGAAGTACAGGACAATGGTCAATGGCCACTTCGTATATTAGCGCACGGCTATTTGCTGTCCGCGCTGTGTCAAAGTCAAAGGTAATACGATATAGCTTTTGTCAGCATAGACTTTGACATGAAACTTCCTTTTGGACGTGCGGCGGACGAACGGGACGGTCAGCTTACATTGTCTAGAAACCCAACTTTGAGTCAGTATAAAACGCGGATACGGTATTGATTTTCTGATTATTGTTGGGAAACGTAACGTAATCGCTAGATAAAAATTGGTCGCTATTTGCCTCTCTTTCGCTTTTAATTTGCCTGTGAATAACAAATTAGGTCACACCAATATGGCCGCTTCAAGTCTCGTTATCTACTTTCCACAACATTTTAAAACTTTTTAGAAGAGATGTGGGAAGCTTGATCTTTCCAGCTACATATCAACCAAGATATATATTTGCTTGCATGATAGTAAAGCTTATTTAGATAACTAAAAATTCGAGTTGTAGAGAATTTGATATGTTTGAAAATTTCAGCTCATAAATTAGCTCATTCAATTCAAAAGGATGCGTTATCCAGTTAGTTTCAAATCAGTGATCCGGAATGACCAATATTATGTGGCAAGGACTATACTAGCTATTTCAACAAAAGTTGTCAATATGAGCGCTAAAAGAATGATGGGAATAAATAAGTTTAGCATATCAGTAGCCTCGTGGGAATACTTTTAGCGACCGCTCATAATGCAAATGAGGTTAATATGTAAAATTTGATTGACGATTTGCATTGCGATTTGTCGATAAAAAATATTTTCACGAAGCTACTGATGTCATCTTATTTAAATCAAGGATTATTCCCATCATTCTTTTAGCGCTCGTATTGTACATTTGCATGATTGTCGGTGACAACCTTAATTGAAAAAGCTGTACACAATGTTCACATTTCACACATCTAAATATGCATGCCAAATTGCCTTAGGAGCAAAATGTGGTGCACACTAAGCTGAGATTGGCGTGTTTTCCCCAAACTGCCAAAAAAAGACATTTGGCTTCGCTTGCCTCAAAACATAACCGCGTGCTGTGGCAGTTAAGATCGAAAGGAAGTTTCATGTCAAAGTCTATGCTGACAAAAGCTATATTGTATTACCTTTGACACAGCGCGGACAGCAAATAGCCGTGCGCTAATATACGAAGTGGCCATTGTTCTGTACTTCGCAAGCTTACGCTTTGCCAGAGCAATTTTCATTAGAATTCATCTTAATTAAGACTCGGCATTTGGGGTTGCACGTCGCTGATATAGAAAATTCCGGTTTTAAAATTGACCTTTTTAAGCGGAAGTACAGATAAAAACTAATGTAACCTAGCGTTTGTAAACAGGCTGCAAACTTCTGCTTTCGTATATACTTGGAAACTAATTGTTTGTGATTTTAATGCCAAATCATATATATTAATGGACATTTAACATCGGCAAAACGGGTCTATACCGGAATCGTGTCACAGTAATGAGTATTTCTCTCGACTTTAGTATTGTTTACATTAATAATGTAATCAGCGAGCGCGATTGAGAATCAATGCGCCTCAATTGTTTATTTACGACATTGGCAAGTAAGTTAGTAAACCTTGTGTATTAATATTTCTTTGTACGAGTTGTTTTATCGCGTTCAAATACTCACTCGATTACGCGATATTTACGCAAATGAAATTGGGCCCGAGTTTGAGCAAATGTCTAACCGATTTAGGATTTTTGTCTTATTTCAAGCGTTACAAAGGTTCGAAAAACACCGCATTTCCACATGTATTTTATCAATTTTCCGACAATTTATTACGATTAATAATAGTCTTTTATAATATATCCTAATATATCTCTTTCAACAAAACGCGGATTTGATTGTCCCCCCGTCCATCCGCCTGTCCCCCCCCGTCCATCCGCCTGCCCTCCCCGTCCGTCCGTCCGTATCCGCGTTTTATCCTTACCCCGAAACGCCCTCGCATCATTCAAAGATTCAGTAAACGAAATAACGACAGAAAATACCCGGCAGTTACAGCAGGCAAATCACCTTAGTAGATGTACATCTCTCAATGTTCTTTATGTCCGCCTAAACACAAGACTATCAAATCAATGAAAAGAATTCTCCATCTGTAAAAATGACATGTATCATCTGTTGCGCATAAAGCCAGTTTTCCACTTCAACCGCATCGTAACGAAACGTAGCGTATTTCTTTATTTCCTGAGAACTAGAGTGGAACTGATGACTTCGACACTAAAGAAAATGCTACGATACGTTACGGTTGAAGTGGAAAACTGGCTTAATTATGCTAGTCGTCACGAAGAAATGCATGATTCGACAATGTGCCACTGAAATACCTGGGCACAATATGTTCCCAGAATCATTGTCAGTATAGATCGCCTTATTCTGGTTCGTCAGGCTGCGATGTCGTGCTTAGACCTGGTAAAATCAACAAAGTTCGGCAATTAAGTTTTGATTAGTTAACGTTCGATACGGCACAAAATACAGCAAGTCATGTCGTAAATATTAACATGCGACACAGTTTCGACGTGGGTTTAGACGCCATGCTTTTAATTAATTTCTTCCAGTCAAACCGAATGCATAATGTAGATTTTTAACGTATTAAATCATTATTATATGGTTAGCCCTATTCACATTAGAGACGGACAAGTCATCTAGACGAACAAATCGTCTCTTAAAAATCGTCTTCATGCAACGACGGACAAGTAGTCGAACAAATTCAGACGACTTTACATCTGATGATTTGTACGACTAAAAGACGATATTCAGACGATTTGTTCGTCTAGACGACTTGTACGTCTTCTAATGTGAAAACGGCTAATATGTACGATATATCAGCAATTTAGCACTGACATTTACTTCTGATATAGTGTATATAGGCACGGTACAATTAAGTCCGACATCCAAATCAGTTGGCGAACTTGTGCCGTATTTAACTGATTTGATTAGGTCAAATCAGTTAGATCACCGTGAAAACGAACTAATATCACCAGACGTATAATCTGCTTACCTAAACGATCACCAATTCGCGGCATGGCAAAGCAACACGCCAAGTTGAGAATAAAGCAATGCACAAAATAACTCGCCATGAATCACAGGACGAAAAGCGCACCTTTAATATGCTATTAAAGTAGGATTAATCGTGTATTTTATTCGTGTTTAGTCGCACTTAATGCGTTTTATTAAAGAGATTAAAGGTGCGTTTTAACACCTTTAGTTCGTTGCATTAAGTGTATTAACGACCACATTAATACCCAGAGATTAAAGTTCAATAAAGGATACTAAGTGTGCATTTAATTCGGCCGATTAAAGGCCGATAAAATGCGGTTAAAGATATATTTAGTCGCCTTTAATATTGGTAGAATTGTTGATTAAAGACAACTTTAATCATACAAAAATGTGTTGCTTATAGGTTATTAAAGGTAAATTTAATCAGTTGATTAAAGACCGCTTAAAGCGACATAAAGAATGAATTAATCACATTTTCATACATTGATTAAACTTTGTGTAAGTGCCATTTTAGTTCTATTTAGTCGCTCTATTATATTTGCAATAAGTTGCATCGCTTGTGACGTTGGGCTTTTTATTGCGCTTTTTAAATTGAAAATCTCGAATTTGTGTCATATTTTCTGACAATACAGTATTATTCATGGATTATGAGTACAAAAACCCGGTCTTGCTTGACTC